GTTAGAAACAACCAGACAAGCCCGGAAGGAAAAGAGCAAAATCAAAATCAAGATAAAAGCTGCCATTGTCACCTCCCCACGGGTCTCACTCACATCTGTGTCACCCAGTCCACGACCAAAAGACAATCGCGGTTTCTTCACGTGTCTCTAGGCTCCACGTGCCTCCCCCAGGGCTCCTTCTGGCTCCATCCTACTTCCTTCCTCAGTCTCCTCTGCAGCTTCTTCTCTTCCTGCTCAGCTCCACCCTCCATTTGGGTGGGGCAGGGAACCTGGAAACTCCCCTTTTCCTGGGGACCACCCTGTTACAGTTACAGTATAGTGTTCAATAAAATATGAAACTCCCTGACCTCATAGGACATTGTTTTGTGTTCTAGTATTCCATTGTTTAATGTATCATTTTTTATTTATCCAATCTCATTGATAAATATTTACATTGTTTCTAATCTTTTGCTGTTACAAATAATCCCACAATGATTAAATTTTTATAAATACCATTTCACATGTGAGAGATTTTCCTCTCTCACAAGTGGAATCACTGAATCAAAGGGAATTTGTAATACATGTCCCATAGGGATGATTACAACTCTAGCAAAGTGTTCCATACATGTAAGTTAATCATGGCTTTGATTTTTAAGGACTATGGATTATATTTTTGGGTTAAAAGATTTATAGTCCTTGGATTAGATTAAAGTAATATGACATACATTGCTTTAACAAATACTGACAGCCTACTCGGTCTCCAACCCGGTAACACAGTGATGAACCTGTTAGGGTTGGTGATGCTGAGACAGATTTAAATTCAAATAAACACTCAGAAAAGCATGGATTTATAAACTCAGGTTCTGAGAAAGAGTATAAAGGTGGTTGAATAGGTGGGTAGAAGATAGTCAAAGGCCCTTTTTTAAGTGATAGTGTTGCCAAAATCTAAGTGATGTGTAGATGTTAATTTGTGGAGAGCTGGTTTTGTGTCTAGAATATCCTGGGGAGAAGAAACTTTATGGGCAAAGACCCTGAGGTAGAAGGGAACATATAAGGCCTTGTATTTTTATGAAGCGGCATCTCTTAGCCTTAAGGCTTTTAGAGATTTCTTAACTTTATACTATTTTATTTTCAGTTCCCTCATCTGTAAGATCAGGGAACTCTTAAACAATAATTTGTAAAAATTCAAGATACTATAAAGTTTCTGGAATCTTATATTAAATTTTGAGTACATGAAATCAATAAATACCATGTTTTTTTCAGACTAATCAAAAAAAGCTATTAGTGCTATATATTTTTTTAAAGATTTATTTATTTATTTATTTGTACAAGCACTGGGTACAGTCAGAAGTGCGGAAGGGTGAGAGAATTCACCAGAGCCAGAGGGTAGAGTGGAGCAGGCAGATTTACTGAAATACACTGCTGAGGGGAGCAGCGGGCGGCAGGAGAGGTCTGCGCGCCATGTGGGACCCTCGCCGGTAGCTGGGCATTGAACCGGCACTGCAGAGGCTGTGGGCAGCTCAGTGCTCAACCGCTGCGCCACCAGGGGAGGCCCTATTAGTGCTATTTAATGTGTATCTGTATTCGATCATCTTAGCCAAACTGTTTTGTTTTGCTAATTCAAAATAGTATCTCTAAGTTACATTAAAATCTATTTCATTAGTTGCTAGCAAGGCTATGCACATTTTTCCATATTAGATTTTTTTATATACTAATTTATAATTTTAATACTCAGTATGTTCTAGCTACATTTATGATCCGCATTTTGTAGACACATTTTTAAGCTCTGGAAATTATGCTTACTCTGTCTCTTTTCCTTTTTTCTCTGTCTTTTATTGCCCAGTTTTGGGGCCTCTTGAGCTAGGGCTCTTATGACATTTGCTTTTCCTTTTTTCCCTAGCAATTTTTTTTTTTTTTTTTAATTTTAGCAATTTTTGTTTTATTTTAAGCCTGGTTAGAAGATAACATTAATTTGGCTACTTTTAATATAATCATAATATAATTACCCTTGGTTTTACTATAATTTGGTTTTTAACAGAAAGATGCCTATAAGTGTCCAATACAATGATTTTTTTTTCCCCCAAAGTGAGCACACAACCATGTATTCTCAAAGCACCCACATAGAGCAACAGCTTTCCCAGTACCCTAGAAACTCCTTGAATTCTCCCTTCTCCAAGGAATGTATCCCGTTTCTTATAGTACTATTCTTACTTTTTAACAATATATATTTTGTTAATATAGTTTTACCTGCTTTTTGTGTTTTATACAAGTAGAGTTACGCAGTTTGTACTCTTGGTTTTAACTTCTTTAGCTCAAATTATGTTCATTCATAACTGTTGGATGAAGCTGTAGCTTTTCATCCTCGAAACAGGTATACTGTAGTTTTCATTTTGTGAATATGCCACAGTTTGTTTATTCATTCTTTTTTTGGTAGGCATTTGTATAGTTTTTAGCTTTTCATTATAAATAATGTGGCTTAGAATTCTAGGAAATCTCTTCTGATCTTATATACAGTTCTGTCAGGTATACACTTTAGAGCAGAATTATTGGGCTATAGAAGATAACCCAGTATCCAAGTGATCGTATTCGTTTTTCAAATGACTGTCAGTTTACATTGCCATAGCATCACACGCAGGTTTAGATTGGTTCATATCTTCTCCAACATTTGATATTTTCCACCTCTTTTACTTTAAACATTCTAGTGGGTATGTTGTGTTATCAAATTTTTACTGTTTTAATTATTGAAAAGGTAATTATTTTGATACTTTGCTCTAGTTTATCTCCTTCCTTTAAAGTTTTTGTGCATTTAGTTTTAAAAAATCTTTGATGGTCTATGTTTATATATAATTATTTGTAGTTATTAAATTACCCAGCACATTAACTAATTTGCTTGCTAATTGTTAATATTTTGCTTTACTCCTTCATTCAACCAACCTTCATTTTTTTGCATGGTTATCTCCTTGTGATAAATTTTGCTAATATGAACTTTTATTACAATTTTTAATTCCTTTTTTAAGGAAGGTTTAGCTTCATAAATTCATGATAGTTTTACCATGGTCTCTGTAGTTATTCTTTTTGGTAGCTTATTATTAGTCTTGGTTTCTGTAACACGACTTAGTTTGTTTTTTCTTTCTCTGTCTCTTCTCTAAACTCCTTTAAATGTTCCTGTTACTCTAGATTGTTTCTTTAGTGTTCTTACCTTATATGCTCACCATATTCCCTGCTTCCCCCTAATGTCTAGAATCATATTTCCAGTTGCTTAGTGGATATCATGCATTAAGATTTTTGCAGGTGTTTTAGACTTGCATTTATCTTCTAGGTTAAAAACACCTATCATTCTCATTTTCCCACAAGTAATTGTCAAAAAATTCTGTTGAATTTTTTTTTTAACATAGGAAGTTGATTTCATACAGTCACAAACAGTGGGTGGATTTGTCTCTTAAAATAGGGATTCTTATGTCCTGTCCCTCCTCCCCACCTTAGTGCAGACTGGATCATGGTCTAAACTATTGTTCCAGTTAGTCTTGGTTTTATTTTTTTGGTCTGACTCCTCCCTTTTCTTTTATAGTTCCTCTGACTAGAGAATGCAAACACTGACAAATAATTTAAATAATTTTTTTAAAATTCAGAATTCATAAAACAAAGACAAACTTTCAGTTTTTAATTTCAACAGACAAATGACAGCTTTTGTAACATATTTCTGAAGTTATTAAAGTTCTAAACGGCACTAAAGCTTTTGTAACTCTCTCTTAAAGGATTTTGTTAAGTGTTGACAAATTGTTATCCAGAAATGTAGAGCACTTATTTCCTTATATCTCCTCTAACACTAGTTATTATTATTTTTAAAACTAGTATTTAGTTTGACAACAGAATGATACCTTGTTTACTTTGCATTTGTTGATTCCTGGTTATGGTGAATATTTTTAATGTTAAATTTATGTATTATTTGGTAATTGTTTCTCATGCTACCTTAATGATATAACCTACTTTTTATCAAGCTCTTTCCTGTCTTCACAAATATTGTGATAAACATTTTGCCTATTACCTATTTTAATCTTCTAGGCAACCCTATTAAGTATTGATATTGTTATTTGAACGAGGAAACTGATTTTACAGGGAATTTGACTTTGTATTTGACTGCTACATAGTTAGAAAGCTTAGATTCTGTGATCCATTATTAAACTAGTCCCTCTCAACTTTTTTTATTATTGCTGAGGAGGATTGGTTTATTTATAGGGGATTGGATTAAATATATAATTATTCTAGAGCAAAGAGAGATGGCTATGATTTATCAGGTTTTTCTGAAAGCAAAATGATTAAGTTTGATATTTGGTTGGGTTCGGAGAGCAGAAATAATAATTTAGTAAGTTTGGTTCTATTTAGAATGTTTGGTTATAGATGTTTACATTTCAAAGAGTTCTTAAATAGTTCTCAAATTAATGCTTTAGTGCACACTCTTGTGGTGGATTTTCATGTTTCCTGATCACATAAATTTGGGTAACAATTATGCTTTTCTTAGCACAGGAACCTTCTAAGATTTGTTTATGCTAGAATTTCCCAAATGAATTTGTGCACTATTCTATGGTAGACCTATTCACATTTAAAGTATATTAGTTTGACAAAAAACCTGATGTGGTTTGTCCTCTCATTTTATTTGGTGAAGAAATGGAGTTCCACTGTGGTTAAATGTGTCACCTAAGGTCACATAGCTAGTAAATGACACAGGACAAGATCCAGTTATTCTTGTGTATTATATTCTTCTGATAATGTTACATAATATGAATATTATGTTAAAAAGTTGTAAAGCAAATGTGAGTGTAGTTTTTTCATTATTTCTATCTAGTCCAGTGACTAAGTCTTATGCTCTGAAAAATACATGTAGTTTTTGCAATTCTGAGATGTATATACATATGAATAACCTCACTTAGCATGAATATATAACCATAATCATTTGTGTTTAATAATAGAAATGAAAAGAGTACCATTTCCTATAGTTGATATGTCACAAATGTTTGGTTTAGTTTCTGTAGAAAATGTTTCCTGACTGCAATGAGAGAAAGCGGAGTACATTGTCCCCTCTGTCGTGGAAATGTGACTAGAAGAGAAAGAGCATGTCCTGAACGGGCCTTAGACCTTGAAAATATCATGAGGAAGTTTTCTGGTAGCTGCAGATGCTGTGCAAAACAGGTAGAGTAAATGTGACATAGTTCTTAAAGTCAGGTTCCTTAAAGTCAAGTGAAATTCTTTGCTTTTTCTTGGTGGGTTCTGTTTTGAAGAGAAAGGAATTATTTGGGTTGGGAATTGGGTAAAATAGCCCACAAATCTGTGACTTATAAATTTGACTAGTTTGTAAACTTACTGAGAACAGAAACCAAAAGATACAATTTCTGAATTTGTCATAATTTTTACCATGGTACTTTTCTCAAAGAAATTTCTCAGTTATTATTAAATGAATTAAATGAGTCAGTTGATACTTATTTAACTCATTAAAATCCCATTAGAAATTCAACCCTTAGATAAGTTTTCTGATGGTAGCATTGTTATTTCAGTTTTTTTTTTTTTTAAAGATTTATTTATTGATTTATACAAGCACTGGGTACAGTCAGAAGCGCAGGAGGGTGAGAGAATTCACCAGAGCCAGAGCAGGGAACAGAACAGGCAAAAGGACCAAGCACACTGCTGAGGGGAGCAGCGGGTGGCAGGAGAGGGACGGGGAGCACCCGGGGATCGAACCGGCGCGGCAGAGGCCGTGGGCTTCGCAACCCAGCGCTCAACCGCTGCGCCACCGGGGAGGCCCTGTTATTTCAGTTTTATACACAGAAATGAACCAAATGGATTTATGTTGTCAAGGAACTTTTCTAGTTGCCCTTTTTAATTGTATTGTTTATGTATTTATCTAAGAAATCACAAAATATTAAGTTGATGACTTTGCTTAATTTTTAAGGAAAAAGTAGGAAAATCAAATATTGGCAAAAACTGCTATCAATTCTCCAGTTTGTATTTTCCTTATACTATTATTTGATGAGTGAATGAAATGATGAAGGGAAGTTAGACTTGGAGTCTATCTATGTATTTATGGATTGATTATTGCCACTTTTTCAAACAACTAATAAAGCCTGAGCAAAACCAGTTGCTATTTCATGCACTCACATAAGTCAGATATGCTTTTCCATCTCTTTGAGGAAATTGTTAACTGACAGGGCAGTGGAGTGAAGTTGCAAAACACACTTCAGAAATTCTGGCTCTCTTCCTCAGTGTGAAACTGAAAAATGCCCAAGTGTTAATCTGGGAACTTACTTTTTTAAAACTGTTTTCTAAATTTGCTAGGTTGCTGTGAAATAAATAGGTATATACCCTAAAACATGAGGTAACCTCTTAATTATAATTTTACTTTTTGTCTACTAATTTTCGGTAATACTATTTCAAGCTAAAATTACTAATGTTTTTTACTGAGTCTGTGGGTGGATGGACCTTTTCTCCATTGTCTCTGCATATAAAGGATAGAAAGTTAAACCTTTTCAGCTCTGTTTACTAAAAAAGTCCAAAAAACTTGTTTAAATGATGTATTTAGTTACCTATTTTTGATTTTTTTTTTCTCATGTTGATAATACCTCAAATCATAGGAGTTTTAAATTAAGTCATATTACATTTTAATCAATAACTTACAGGTTAAATTCTACCGCATGAGACATCATTACAAATCTTGTAAGAAGTATCAAGATGAATATGGTGTTTCCTCTATCATTCCAAACTTTCAGATCTCTCAAGATTCAGTAGGGAACAGGTAAGCAATATTTACCGTAAAAAGATAATTTGGGGATGAGGGGGAATCCTTTTATTTTTTAATTTATTTATATACATTTTACATCATCATCATTTTTGTACAGTGTTTGCTTTCTCCTCTCAGGTGTAGTCCCTGTAAAATTTCCACCACCAATTCATCTGTGTACCATCACCATAGTCCCTTATGCCCTTCCCTCCCCTGTTTTGAGCCCTCTCCCCTGCAGAATGTCTCTGATTTATAGTTCCATTTTAATTTTGTTTTTTATTATTTTTTTCCCCCTGATCCCTTATTTCATTCCCCTACATTCCTCCTATAAGTGAAACCATTCAATATTTTTCTTTTTCTTTCTGGCTTATTTCACTGAGCATAATCCCTTCCAGCTCCATCCATGTTGCTGTGAATGACATGAGTTTATCTTTTTTTGATTGCTGAGTAGTATTCCATTGTATATATATACCACATCTTCTTGATCCAGTCACCTATTTTTGGGCATTTGCATTGTTTCCATATCTTTTGTTGTAAGTAGTGTTGCAGTAAAAATAGGGGTACAGGTATTCTTTTTTTTGTTTTTAAAGATATATTTATTTTTAAAAGCACTAGGGTACAGGCCAGAGTTGCGGGAGAGTAAGAGAATTCACCAGAGACAGAGCAGGGAGCAGAACAGGCAGAAGGACCAAAGTACACTGCTGAGGGGAGCAGTGGGTGAGACAGGAGAGGTCTGCCTCGCCATGTGGGAATCTCTCTGGTCAGCCGGGAATCAAAGCACGCTGCAGAGGCTGTGCACAGCTTCACAGCGCTGCGCTCGACCCACTGTGCCACTGGGGAGGCCCTAGGTATTCTTTTGAATCAATGTTTTTGTGCCCTTTGGGTAGATCCCTAGGAGTGGAATTGCTTGGTCATATGGATGCTCCATTTTTAGTAGACTAAGGAGCCTCCACACAGCTTTCCATAGTGGTTGGACCAGTTTGCATTCCCACCAGCAGTGCAGGAGAGTTCTTTAAAAAGAGAGTTTTTATAGTTGAAATGGAATTTGTTTAGGGAACTGTGGTAAGCTGTTTTTTTGTTTTGTTGTGTGTGTGTGTATTTTTAAGTAAATTACCAATGTCTTCTCCCAGACTGCAGGTTGTTATTTTGTTTTTGTGATGGTTTCTTGTGAGGTCTACAAAGCTTTTTATTTGATGTAGTCCCACCTGTTTATTTTTTTAATATTTTTTAAAAGATTTATTTTTATTTATGCATACAAAAACTGGGGTGTAGGCCAGAGGTGTGGTTGGTGAGAGGATTCACCAGCAACAGAGTGGGTAGCAGAACAGGCGGAGTGACTGAAATACACTGCTGAGGGGGGCAGCGAGCAAGACAGGAGGGGTCTGCTGTGCCTTGTGGGTCAGCTCCCTGGCCTTGAACTCAGGCTACAAGAGTGGTAGCGCTGAGACTTAACTCCTGGGCCACCAAGGAAGGCTCCCCACTTGTTTAATTTTGCTTTTTTTCCCTTGCCATTGAAGTTGCATCCCAAAATACATCTGTGCAGTTGATATTTAGTAGTATAAACCCAAAGTTAGATAGAATTGGAAACAACTGACAAATTAATAAAAATTTTAAATTGTCATATGTCAGTTGGAGTTAGAGCATTTGTCTCCAGAAGTTTGCTTGACACATGTGAGATTGAATCTGGGAAATCAACTTCCTATGAAACATTTTACATTATGTTATTTAAATTATTATTTCTTAGAAATAATTATTTCTAATAATATTTTTTGAATAATATTTCTAATAATAGATTATCTCTTAGAAATAATATTTCTAAAAAATACATGTTTCTAAGAAATTTCTAAATATACATTAAGAAAATATACATTTACTTAGAGTTGAGAGTTGATGGCTGTTTTCTTTTGCAACTGAAATTAAATTGAAAACTAGAGAAAATCCTTTTAATAACATATTTGCAAACTAGAAAGTCCTAGTTTGGTTTTCGGTTTAATGTTTTTGATGTCTGAAAAATAGTGTTTATTCTGATAGTAAAATGACATGAAAGTGATACTCATTGGTATTAAATTCTGTCAATCTCAGTTTTTTAAAAAAGTTAGGTTTTGTCTTGATTTGTATCTTACTGAGATCTATCTTTAAATCTTTAAAACTTAAACCTTTTTTTGTATCTTAAACTTTTTAATGAAATTTATTTTACACAGAAGAATGGCCAAAATGCATATGTGGCTTAAAAACTAGTGAAAAACAAAGTACCAGTTACCCATTAATCCAGGTCAAAAAACAAAAAACCCAGAATACTTTTCAGCACCTAAAATCTGCATGTGGGGGCCTCCACTGGTGGCACAGTGCTTGAGTGCTGGGCTGCGAAGCTGCCTGCAGCCTCTGCAGCGCCGGTTGAGGGTCCCACGTGGCGCGCAGACCTCTCCTGCCTCCCGCTGCTCCCCTCAGCAGTGTACTTCGTCAGTCTGCCTGTTCTGCTGTCCGCTCTGGCTCTGGTGAATTCTCTCACCCTCCCGTGCTTCTGACTGTACCCAGTGCTTGCATAAATAAATAAATAAATCTTAAAAAATAAAATCTGCATGTGGATCTCAATCCATTTGAACCCCATATTCCCAGAGGTGATCACTGTTCTCTTTCTTAGTTTACCCATTCCCTTCCTTTTCTTATTATCACACATGCAGTTATTCCTGAGTTTTAAAAAGCTCAATAGCAAGCACATACGTAGTTACATAAGAAAAGGCGGTAATGATGCTGTTATAGAAAGGCTCCTAGGAGACAATATGTTAAGCAGAGTTTTCAAGATTTTATTTTAGTAGCATTTCATTTCACATGTTGCTGATAGTTACCATTCTTATACAATGATATTGCAGTTACTCCTCAGCTGAAACTGGTCTAGTAAAGATTTTTTTTTATATTATTGTTTTTAATTTTTATATTATTGTTTTTAATTTTTAAAATTTTTTTTTAATTTTTAATTTTTTATATTATTGTTCATTTTTAAGCAATATTTGCTTCCTCCCACCCCTCAGGTGTAGTCCCCATAGAGTTTCCTTCACCAATGCACCCATGCACCATCACCTCAGTCTCCTGTGCTCCTCCCTCCCTCGCTCCAATCTCTCTCCCTTCTCCTCCTCTGCATTATGTCTCTAATTTATAATTGTCTATTTTTGCTTTTTTGTTTTGTACTGTTACTGTCAGTTTTTTACATGATGTCTTATTTGGTTCCCCTATATTCCCGCTGTAAGTGAAAACATCCGATATTTTTCTTCTCTCTTCTGGCTTATTTCACTGAGCATAATTCCTTCCAGCTCCATCCACGTTGCTGCGAATGGCATGAGTTTATCTTTTTTGACTGTTGTATAATATTCCATTGTGTGTGTATGTGTGTGTGTGTATATATATATATATATATATATATATATATATATCACATCTTCTTGATCCAGTCATCTATTTTTGGGCATTTGCGTTTCCAGATTTTACTTATTGTAAATAGTGCTACTATAAACATGGGGGTACAGGTGATCTTTTTGAATCAATGTTTTTGCGTCCTTTGGGTAGATCCCTAGGAGTGGAATTGCCGAGTCATAGGGTAGCTCCATTTTTAGTAGACTGAGGAACCTCCAAACAGCTTTCCATAATGGCTTTTCCGAAACTGGTCTAGTAAAGATCTTTAGTAGTTTCTAATGGCATCATCTGCAAAATTTGTTTAATTCTCATTTGGACTGCTTACTGTCTTTAGATATAATTTGGATGTAATCTTGTTATTTTAAAAATTGCCTTATATTTCTTCGTCCTTGAGTTTCTTTTATTATTACACTTTTGCTAGATAGTAATAACCCAACAATTTGCTGTTAACCCAATAAATTATTCTTTCTTGCATGGATGGTGCTTGTTTTGTTCAACATTTGGGTTTTTTTTTTTCCCCCCCAGGAGATATGCTCCTTTCTCTCTTATTCCCTTAGATTCAATTGGTTATCAGTACTATTGATTCATAATAATAGTATTGCTCATCTGTGCTTTACTTCTATCCTTCTTGTCACTTTCCTAGCTCAAGCACTCACCATCTCTCACTTGAACTATTATAGTCATCTTTTAGTTGGGGTCCTCCTCTAATCTGTCCTATGTGCTATTACCACAGCAACATTTTAGAAGTGCAATTTCTTTCCCTAAACTTATACCTTCCTCCCTGTACTGTTTCAGTGACTTTCCATGACCCCATAGTAGTTTCTCTTCTTGAGTTCTGTGGACCAGAAAAGGCTCTGTGAATTACCTAGCCTGACAAATTCTTTGTGCATGTGCTTTTTTCTGGAGAGAGAATGTCAAGATTTGCAAGGAGTCCCATGTTCTAAAATCCTAATTTATAAGACATAATCCCTTATTCGAAAGCCCTTTTTGATCTGACACTTGCCTTTCATCTTAGCTTTGTTTGTTTCTTGGCTACCATTTTACTTCAGTATATGTCTTGACCATGTTGAATTATTTGTGCCATATTCTTGCCATCTTTGAGAGCAGTGTAACTTTTTTTCCCCCCTGACCTCCCTGCAGTATAACTTAGTGGTTGAAAAATGAAGGCTTTTAGCCAGTCTGACTGTTTCTGTTTTTTTAGGGTTTGTTTTTTTTGTTTTTTTTTTTTTTGGCAGTCATTTTTTTTAAGATGGTAGGAAGTTTAAGATATGAAACCAGCGTATATAGTCAGGATCTTGGGAGGGAATAGTATGTTCAAATTAGGTAGTCTGAAGCAAATTGAGTAAAAGGAACTATTTTCTACTAGTGTAGGGCATTTGGTATACTGTGTGAGCAGTGTATAGAAAACCACAAGGGATAGTGATATGTTCTGGGTCTGCTGAAAGCAGGGAGGGGAGGAAGTAGGTTCCAGAATGCTTGGAGAAAGAAAGCTTTATGAAGAAGGTAGTTCTAGAGGGCTATACATGACAGTCAAGGCAGTTTTACTGAGAAGGAGTTGAGGGGATAATTATCCTAACTAACCTCTTGTTTCACCCTCCAAGTCCCCTGATGGACTGAACCCATCTGGGGAGCAGAGAAAGGAACCTATTGATGCAGGATTAGTCTTAGTACAGAAGACATGGTGAAAAATGGAGGAGAGAAGATTTGCAAGGGCAGAATCCTAATAAGGATTTGTTAGTAGCCAAATATATTGCAATATATTATATACTGTATTCCATAGTTTCCAAATAACCCAATAGAAAGAAGAAAACATCCAGTATTTTTTTTTTAAAGATTTATTTACTCATACATACAGGAACAGGGGTATAGTTCAGACGTGTGGGAGGGTGAGAGGATTCACCAGAGACAGAGCAGGGAACGGAACAGGCAGACTGACTGAAATACACTGCTGAGGGGAGCAGTAGGCGAGACAGGCGAGGTCTGCTGTGCCATGTGGGTTTCTCGCTGGCCTGCTGGGATCGAACTGGCACTGCAGAGACTGTGAATAGCTTCACAGCGCTGCGCTCAACCACACCAGGGGAGGCCCACATCCAGTATGTTATTAACAGTATCTATAATATTGTAAACAAAGTAGTTCTTACTAAGGAAGACAGATATTGCTGATATTAAAGAAATGATAAAGAAATGATTTTTCCCATTGATTCTGGAAAGAAGACACTGATACAGTAAACATCGTTCTTGTTTTAAATGCAAAACACTGTATAGGCCATAGTTTAAAGACCTTTAGTGTAGGCTATCATAATGCCTTACTGCAGTTTATTCAAGTTTTTCTTCCAGGGCTTTTCTCTAATATTTCTGACATAATCTAGATGTGGTAGTAGAATGGACAGGATCTGAAAATTCGGGCAGTTGTCTGTGAAGATTAGCTTATTTAATTTAGCATAATGTCAGGTTCACTCATTGTCACATTTGCAGATACTGTTCTAGACTGAATAATATGCCATGGTATGTATATATCACATTTTAAAATTCATTCATGTCTTTGTTTATTCATTCACAAAATTGTTTCCTCATCTTGGCTATTGTGGATAATATTGCAGTTAATATCAGAGTGCTAATATTCCTTTGAGATTTGGATTTCAGTGCTTTTAGATAAATACCCAGAAGTGGGATTACTGCATCCTATGAGTAGTTTTAATTTTTCTGAGTAACCTCCTTACTATTTAAATGGTGCAAAAATATACCATTTTTGATTCCAACCAACAAAATGTACAAAGGTTCTAATCTCTACATCCTCACCAACACTAAGGTCTTTGTTTTTTGGCATTAACTATCATAACAAGTGTAAGAGAGTATCTTGTGGTTTCAATTTGTATTTCCCAACGATATTGAGCATCTTTTCATATAATTGTTTGGCTGTTTGTTGACCTTCGAGAAATGTCTCTTAACAGTTTTTAGTCCCATTTTGTATTGAATTATTCTTCATTATTGCATTGTGGAAGTTCCTTATATTAACCCTTTGTTTTACATGTGGTTTGTAAATATTTTCTCCCATATGTTGCTTTCACTCTATGGATTGTTTCTTTAGTTGTGCAGAAGCTTTTTAGTATGATATGGTCCCACTTGTCTTTTTGCTGTTTTATTGCCTGATTGCAACTATCCTTGTTCAGTCTTTGGCTATTTTTGTTATTAATTATATATCATGTTTTATATGTATGTGTCTATAAACGTAATATTTATTGTCATTCTTATATTGCTTTTTATTATCATGCTTGAGAAATCCTTTCCCACATCAGTGTTCTAAAGATATTCTTTGGTATTTTAAAGCTGTACTTTTCATATTTATTTTGAATGTATAATATGAGGTAGGAAAATTTTACCCATGTCATTAACCATTTTTCCAGTATTATTATTAAACCACTCTTTTCATAATGCCCTACAAATCTGTTCTTTTTTGTCAGTTCATTTGTTTATTTTTCTAGTACCATGCTATCTTAATTATTAAGGCTTTAACAGCAAGTCTTGGTATCAGGCAAGTTTCCTCATTGTTTTACTTACAAAATTGTCTCTGTTATTCTTGACTCTTTGCTATTCTATAAGAATTTTAGGATTGGATTTTTGAATTTCCCAAAAATTCCTGTAGAGATTTTGATTAACAGCATTATAGAGGTTGAATTTATTGAAACCATAGATAAATTGGGGGAGAATTGGCATTGTATATAATACCTAAGTGATAATCCCCGTATAGAATGCCCACTCTTCCCCACTGCTGCATGTGACACATGACACTCTGGCTTGGGTACTGAGTGAGGACGTCAAGTTTTTCTGTATGTTAAATGTTGGAAAGCCTAGGTCCTTTTTGGAAAATACAAGCATAATGAATGTTTCAACTAATTTCTCCACTTTGGAGCTCACAATCCTAGTTACAAAATCAAAATTTATTTATAAATTTTTGATTCTGCCTTAGCATTCAAAAGCTTACTGGTCTAGGTAGATTATTCTGCAGAATTCTGTATCTCCTATACTTTTGTGATTGCACGTAAGTTAATATTAGAAGATGTGAATAAAGACCTATTAAACAGTCATCAGAATTTTATTTGGAAAGTAATTAATGCCATAGTTATTTAATAGTTCAGAACTATTTGAAATTTACACTTAAAAAACAAATTCAGAGTATTCACTAGCATTCAAGTTAATGAATCTGGAATATACTTTATTACTTGAGGTGTATTAACTTTCCCCCCCTCTGCTTCTTAAGTAATAGGAGTGAAACATCCACATCTGATAATACAGAAACTTACCAAGAGAATACAAGGTAAACTTTTGACAAATTTGCTATTTTAGTAAATAATATCTCACTTTATAATAACATTTTTAAATTAAATTTTAAAAATTCATTTAAATCATGCTAGAACTTAGCAGTTTAGAAATAAATGATGCATTTGCTACTTGTATTGATCACATGAAATTAGCAGAATTTATAGCTATCCTCTTTCACTGTGGTCAGGTTTCTTCCATGCATAATTCAGGTAGAGATACCAATATTCATCTGTCCATTGCTGAAATTTAGAAATACTAAAACCCAGGAATGCATGATCCTCAAAATATTTTGAAATGTTAATCATTCTGACAATCTATTCTTTTGTTTTTCACTTTAGCTATGAATTTTGTATGTTTGATTCCTAGTGACTGATTAAAGATAAGATGTTGATGGATATGGATGTTTTTTAAGTTTTTAGTTCCTAGATTGGGTTTCTAAACTGGGACCCACAGCATAGTTAAAAATTTAAGAGCTAAACAGTGACCTCTGTTGGCTTCACACAAATAACTGATTTAAATTATTTGGACCTAACTGCTTAATGAATAAAAAACAGTTAGATTTGCATTTAGTTTTATTTTGGCCTAGAAGGCACAGTGAAAAAATTTACTGAGACACTAAAGGTAACTGGTTGAAAAATAGGAACACGTCATATTTGTGTAATAATTATGGATTATGTATACTTTATTTAAAATTGTTTTATAGTTCTTCTGGACATCCCACCTTTAAGTGTCCCTTGTGTCAAGAATCAAATTTTACCAGGCAGCGTTTACTGGATCATTGTAACAGTAATCATCTATTTCAGATAGTTCCTGTGGTAAGTACATATGTTTCAGATGATCTTCTGCTTATGGGTTCGATTTATTTTACTTCCCTACAAGGGAACATGTTTATTTAAATTTGGATCTGGCATTATTATAAGATAGATTTTTGTCAACAGGAGACTGATAACTGTGATACAAAATGAGATATTTAAAATCTACTAACTCATTTTGAAAAAGGGAGATGTGAGGGTAAAGGAAAACAGCCTAGTGAAGAGTGAAGTAATGAAAAATGAACTAAGGACTCTTTACTGAAGAGTGGCAGAATCATTCTATTGGGACCTCTCAGGTTTTTGGAATTTGATAGGTGATTCTGCTCAAGTGAAAGCAGCACCTGTAAGAATAAACTCGTACGTATTCTTTTTAAGTTTTTTATTGCGGTATAATTGTTATATAAAATCAGTAGGTGTTTTTAATTGTGTCCTTGCCAAATCCATTTCACAAATGGATAAAACAAGGAAATAAAAGAACCGTACACTCTATTTGATGCATATATATATTTTTAGGGTGTATAAGAAAGTGGTAAGATTTTTAGATGCATGAGGGAGGTAGAGCAGAGTGCTGGATTCCAATATTGTGTTAATGATCCTATAATTCCTCATTTGGATCATGAGTTTCACAGGTAAGTGATTTCAGCTGTGAATGAAACAGGAAAAACTGAGCTAGAAGAGATATTTCCCCTTTAGCTGTCCATTTTTATATAGAAATATTTTTTCAGAAATAGGAATAGAAGGAAAATATTATATGTAAGGATTGTAGCTATTTCTAAGCAGGTTTAGTAGGAATACTAGAAAAAAATTATAAAATAATGTTTTTTAGTCTGTTGAGCATGACCATAAACTCTTACATAACGCTAAGGAAAGACATACCACCTACTTTTACTAGAAGAGGTCCATTTCCTGTTAAATTACACTGCCAAACACGTGTCCAGGAGAAATCCCAATATTTAAGAGATTTTATTTGTTTAATATTAAATTAGCAGATTTTTGTTTTCTGTATTTGTAAAGGCCGGACTGGGCACAGTACAGGTTTTCTGATCCCATGCAGACCAGGTAAAGGAGGAGTCAGAGTCCTCAGTGGCTTTTTTGCAGGTCTTTTATTGGGGTTCACCAGGCATATGGCAGGCAGGGGTGCTGGCTGGGGGGCTGGGAGGCTGGCAGGCCTCCCAGCTCCCAGCAAGTCTTCACTCTATCTGGGCTCTCTAGCGTTCGTTCTGCTGCTTCTCGGCTTCTCTTTCGGCTTCTGCTTCGGCTTCTACTGCTGCTTCTACTGCTACTGCTTCTACTGCTCCTGGCGTCCCCGTGACACCGCCCTTAAAAAGCACAGTCTTAGCGCAGGTGAATCCCATCTACCTATGCCCACACCCTATTCCAGGTGCCCGCCATCAGGCATGCATTCAGGACAAGGATCCATCATCTATCCTGATGGCGGAAGGGCAGAAAAGCCTGATATTTTCTTTACCCTACAGTATTATATTCAACACATACCATAAACTTTGTCTAGAGTTCAGTTACTAGAATTCCTTTTTATTTCGTAATCATGTCATCCTTTAACTTTTAAAGATATATTTTAAGGAGAAAATTTAAAACCTTTATTATACTTTCATTTCATTTTACTTATAGATGAAATTAAGCTAATAATTATATCATGGTTCTTGTGTGGTTCAAGTGAGATTTTTACACACTGATCAGTGATAACTATCATTGGTTAATAACTTAATAGAAATGGTGTTAATAAAGACTGTATATAGTGTTTATGTTGAACTGTATAAAGTGTTTCTGTTTATTTTACGTAATAAAATATGTAAGATCTCTTCATTGTGTTGTGTTAGATTAGTATAATTTAAGGTAATTTGGCTGGGAAATGATCTATCTAATCATGGAATTTGGTTTTTTATATCAACATGCAACTATAAGCCAGAGACACACTACGGGGAGGGAGAGGGGTAGGAGGCATTACGGTCAAAATAAGGGGGGTGGGAATTGTATGGGGACTATAACCAAGATGAAAAAGCATACATTGTGCAAAAATGAAAAATGATGTAAAAAATATATAAAATAAAATATTAAAAAAATTCTTTTTGTGTAGATGTTTATGGTAACATAAGCCTGTATCGTTTTAATACCTTCAATAATTGCAATGTGTGGTTATTTTCATTATTATTTTTTTAAACATTTTGTTTCTATAGACGTGTCCTATTTGTGTATCTCTTCCTTGGGGAGATCCTAGCCAGATTACTAGAAATTTCGTTAGTCATCTAAATCAAAGACATCAGTTTGATTATGGAGAATTTGTGGTAAGTGAATATTTCAGGATTAAGAAAGTATTGTTTAAATATTTAATAAATTAATCTCTTCAACCTAGACTTGATTTTAAGGCTAGCTGCTGTGTGATACTGGATGAATATAGAGAAGATTCTATTGCTTTTATAATACAGAAAAATTTTGACTTGTAGAAGTAGTAACAGTTGAATTTACTGTCCACCTGTACTAGAGAGATAATTAATAAAGAAAAAACAGGCTTAACATATTAGCAAAATGATTATTTATATGGAAACTATCTAGATTCATGGGAAAATTGTACCTATTAGTGAAGTAAAATTGGTACAATAGATGGAATATGTGTTTCTCACAGTATACTGTACTTATTAAATCCACTGTAATAGATTTCTCATATTTAGCATGTTAGACATTTTATTTTTTTAAATGAAGGAGTTTAATTATCAAATAGTGTTAGGTTGAATGGTAGATTCTGGACTTAGCTGACTGCTTTAACAGGATGAGCAAGGGTAATTTATAAAAAATGCACCCCCAAAATAAAATGAGGTTAATTTCTTCCTCCCAAATGTATCATAATTTTTAAAAAAATTAATGACTTTTGTTTAATTTAATCGTGAAATGCATTTTTTTCCAACTTCAGTCATTAAAACCTTATCTAATTCGATTAATCCTGACAAAGAAAGGCTGATACTTATTTTCCAATGTAGGTAAGCATAGGCATATGCGATTTAAATATCTGTAAAATTCAGATGTGCTCCCATACAATGTTTTATGAGGAAAGTGTAGATTATTCTTAAATTCTTTTTGTGAGAACTGTATATTTGGAAAAACAAAAATATATGCATATATATATATATATTCTAAAGATTTATTTTATTTATTTTTGCATACAAGAACAGGAGTGCAGGCCAGAGGTGTGGGTGGTGAGAAGATTCACCAGATAGAGTGGGGAACAGAACAAGTGGATCTACTAAAATACACTGCTGAGGGGAGCAGCTGGCTAGACAGGAGAGGTTTGCTGCACCATGTAGGTTAGCTCTCTGGCCGGGGATTGAACTCATGCTGTAGTGGCTGGCGATAGCTTGATAGCGCTGAGACTTAACCCCTTGTGCCAACAGGGAGGCCCCAAAAATATATTTTGTGAACCACTGTAATTGTCAGATTGTTTTATCTTGCTACAGAAAAATAATTTAATTATTTAGTTTGTCAAGTGGTAAAGCCTTTTTTTAAAGCTAACATATAGGACATAAGAGATAGCAAATAGAGTTTTTTAAATTGAATGGTAATATGACTAAAATTGAGTGAACTCTAGACTTTACCTTCGATTTATGGTTAAGAAGCTATTATTCAACTGTTAATTCATTAAATGCTTATTTTCTTTAAAATGAATTTAACTTTGGATGTTTGACATTCTTGATTAGAGATGACATAAAATTTATCACTCAGGATTATGAGTTATTCTTAACTATACTTTTAACTAACTGTCAGGCACTATAACTCAGATTTCATTCTGATATTGATCCTCTCTTTTGCTTATTAATTATTCCTAAATGATTACAACCACACTTAATTTTTCATTGAAATTTAGGTATTTACATCTTACATTTTTAAAAGACAATACGTGTTTGTAACATAAACTCTTTCAATTATTTGTAATATGTATCAGCATGTGTAATGTATTGGGCAGAGCATTGAGTGGAGAAGTGTGCTTTCCCTAATGACATGTTAATGTTACTGTTTTTAGAATCTTCAGCTAGATGAGGAAACCCAATATCAAACTGCTGTTGAAGAATCTTTTCAAGTAAATATTTGAAGGCTGTACACATCTCTGCATCATTGGACCTACAAGTGCCATCTTTAAGGGGAAAATTACATAAAGTTTCCATTTCAGTAACTTGATGTGTATATTAATAAAAGTAATTCAGTCTATTGATTTAGTTTTTAATTGAAAAATAAAGGTGAGCCATCTATTAAAAATTTCATTCTCATAATAAGAAGTGAAAGTTATGACATCTTGAAAAGAATTAGAAGGATTATATTTCACTAATGTAATGGTGGAAAAGGAAATCCCTCTTGTACTTTATCATTTTCTATTACGTAATTTAGAATTTTTCTTTATATTGCTTTTGAAATTTTGTTCAGTTCCTTCCATTGATGTACGTATGCACAAAACACAACGGTAGCAAATTCTGAAAGATGTGATTGATATAAACTTAACAAGTCTGAGCCATTTATCAGAGTTGCAGAGTAGAAACTTGAAGTGCTAATGAAACAATCCAAAGGAAACTTTTTTAATACAGAGTCTAGCTGAAGAATTCAATTATAAGAAAATTGTATTTATATAATGTTTAATATTTTTGAAAACTAGATTTCTTTAATAATTTTAACTCTTTAAAAAGTGAAAGCTCATAAAATAATTTCCTTTTTGCTACTACCAGGGAATATCCAAAGAAAATTTTCTTTGGTGGGCAGTTGGTAATTTCAAATCTTGTTTTTTTGGCTGACTAATTTGTGAGGCTAGAGTATATAGTAAGCTGAGTTATAGCTCTTTGGCCTCAGAATTTTCAATAGTCAGTATTTCTGATTAACTAAGATCAAACTTTTATTAGTGACTATTGGTTGGTGATATGCTATTCTATAAATATATTTAAATGGGATTTGGCTTCACCTTAGTTTAGAAATTCATTCAAACCTAAAGTTATGTATATGTACATGTATTCTTGCAGTTTGTCAGGTTATATACAAGATTTTTATTAAGATTTTAGAAGTGCACAAATATGGGACTAAAATGTTTATGATTTGATTAAAATTTTGTATATCCAAGAAGTTTTAAAAAGTAGCAGTCAAATCCTAAGTGTTATAGATGGCTGTTACTACACCTTGAAAATTGAGTTTACACATACACAATTACCTGTTTATATGGTGCTCATTTGTTATTCTCAGAGATAATGCATGATTATGAAGTAATGAGGCAGATTCTATTTCGCTACATTTTAGTCAAAAATGGGTTTATTCTTAGTGGTCATTAATAAAATACATAAATTGACTTGTTCCAGAAGGCCCAAAACACAGATCAAAGAAGGAAGAGTGGATTAGCTGACATTCCATACTAATACACATTGTTTATGCTTTCTTTAATGTAACTAAAAGAAAATAAACGAAAATCTCAAGTAGTTTGCTGCTAATATATGCATATATTGTATAAAAAAGATATATTTTGGTTTTGTTAAAACCCTTGTTGACTTTTCTACAGTGAACTTTTTTTAACTTGATTTAATAAAAATGTTAATTTTGGAAGCAAAGTTTTGTAAAACCTTTTTGCATTCAAACAGCAGTGATTTTATTTATGGGTAGTAATAGCAATCACCAAAAAGCCATACATCTTAATGAACATATGCCTTTGTTCTGTCATTCGAAAGAGTGATGCTTACTATGTGCTTGAATATTTTCTCTGCAGTTACATAAATGTAATTGTAAGAATAGCTGTTTAATGAACTCTTCAAAGAGACCTTTAATCATAGGTTCTTCCAGTTTAAAGCAATAACTTTAGTACTTTTCTTTCAAAGTTTAATACTTCTAGTATGTCAAGTTAAGCCATCCTGAGATTTGAAAACTTTAAAGCAAAATTGTAGTAGAGATCATCTCCATAAAATTGTGCTTTGAAGTTTTGTGGATTACTTAAATATCTTTCATAGTCTTGTATACCTTTTATATAAAAGCTTTTTCATAAGGAAAACACTGATTTTATTTGCTGTTAACTGGGAGTTCCTCAGTATGGATATGTTTGTTTAAAGTCTCCCCTCCTTTTATCAATGGATTGGGTACAGGGATAGACTTTACAGATTTGCAGCTTAAATTCTTGAGAAAGTCCTTATTTTTTAAATGCTTAATAGCTGAGTCAGGATAAAGGAGGGAAACTATTAATACTCTGATATCTAAATTTCATAATACCACTAGGAAAGCTATTTCCTTCAACAAATTATAGTTTATGTTATTGGCTAGAGTCTTATTTGAGATGTATTGCTTTATTTTTCAATTAAAAGTGGTTTTCTCCTCTTTGTGTGTCTAATTAAAATTTTGTCTAGAGGCAAACATAACATTAACTCTCATAACTTATCCTGGGAGACTTGTAGGAAATAACCCATTATTTTTCACTTAAAAATGTGCATCGGCGAAAGCTAACACATGCTGAAACTATGTGTTGAATTTAACTTTATAAAACTATTTCATCTTTTTTCAAATGTAATAAACTTGTGTTATTTTGCAAGTGTACAGTCAGCATGATTTTCAAATCTTGTTAGCAACCAGGTAGAAAGCTAGTTAACTAGTTAATAAATACTTTTATGTGGAAAAATTACCACCCTTAAGTAGGATTAGGGCTATAAGAATATATTGCCAAATACAATGCCATCTACCTGTTGGATTGTTTAATACATACTAATTAAAATCTTCAATGACTCAATTTTTATAGACATCTTTTGGGGCTGCTATTCATAGAATGAACCCTTTGTGGAGGTGGTGACATTTTAGCCTTTGTAGAAATGATGTAATCCAGAAAACATGTAAATACATGTAATCTAAAACACAAAGTAGAATAAATTATGAATAAAGTACTCATTCCATGATACCATGTAATGTGCAATATAATTTTCTAACTGTATTACAATTTTGGAGGAAGATGGGGAATGGAAATGAGTTATATTAAGATATTAAAAGGATACAAGAAGGAGCCTCCCTGGTGGCACAAGGGGTTAAGCATCAGCATGGGTGTTACAGCCTGCATTCTTCCCATCCTCCAGCAATTGTCCAGTTCTGAGGCAGAGAAATGACAGTTACTGCACTCTCGTCCACCCTTGAAATGAGGGAGATAAATGTGTATTTCATTATGTACTTGGTTGACAAACTTGCATTGAACTATACCATATAATTTCTTTGTGATAAGAATTGTTAAGAATATATTGGTGAAGGATATACTGTTGCTGAATTTAAGATGAGTAGCGGTCAGGGGTAGCAAATACAGAAGAGTGAAAATCAGATGATTTACTGTCATACTCTGGAACTAATGGAAAGGAAAAAGAATACATGAGATATGCAGGAGGAAATTTTATATGTGTCTAAATGGGCAAAATAATGGTAACATGATACTGAAAGTGCCCAAAGAGAACAAAGCCTGAGTAATCAGGGTTCAGAGCAAGAAAAAAAAAAAAAATGACTAGAATTTCCTCAGTCCCCTTATGCTTCCTTCCAGTCAAAACGTGCCACCACTATTAACTTCTCATGCCACGGATTGCTCTGCCTGCAATAGAAATAGTAAAATATTTGACTACTTTTACTGAACTTTTGTGTTGAGAATAGTTGTTACCTGCAGTAACCTGTCTTTAGTACAGAAAAGCTAAAAGTATCTTCTAAAACAGCCTTTAAATATTTGTGTGACAATTAGAAGAATGGCAACTGATTCTTTTGTATATTCATTAGAAGAATGGCACTGGGAGTGCTGAATCTAGGTGAAAACTAGATCTTGTAATAACTGAGGAATGACAGGTGAAGAATTAACCAAATAGCCTCCTGCTGCTCTTACTGACTTCTTATAAGCTATGTATAAGATGTTCTCTACAGGGCATTTTGTAGGCATGGAATTCTAGTAAGTACATAAGAACTATATTATCTGGGAATAGTGCCTAATGGTACCATTAGAAATTAAATGGGCTACTGTCCATAGAGAAGTGGGTACGTAGATCTTTGCTGGGCTACTGAAAGAACTTAGAACAACCAAACCTAGTTTCTTGGGCCAGATAGCCTGGTTTTGTTGATTCTGCAGATTGATACTTAGGTAGTTTTGGACAAATAACGTAGCCACTCATCTTCATGGACTGTGAGAACTGCATTAATAGACAAAAGGCTTGAGACAACTTTTTACTTTCTGTGTATTCAGTATAATTCTATCAATTATGTTAATATCTGGCAGGTTTTCCCTTTAGAAACTAAAAAAGATTGTTAGTCTTTGCTAGTCTCAACTTTTATAGGAAGATCTGTGGCATTGCCAGTACAAATCTTCCAAACAATGAGATACTATTGAATATAATATCTAACTAAAAGAAAATATCTTTCAGATGAATCTTTATAGAAAATGACAAACTGATGCTTATACTTCTTAATCAAATGTATGCCCAGGACCCTTAGGATCTACCTCTTAACAGCTTTCAAATACACAGCAGTATTAACTATACTTGTACTTTAAGACTGACTTTTATTTTAACATGTTTGGTTCTTAGCAAATAATACCAAGAAACAGCTGCCGAGAAGAAAACTTATTTCGTGATGTGTTAGTAAATCACTTGGCTAGCTTTTATGATTAAGTCTTAAAGGGGTTTACAGTTTTTCTGACTTTGGAAAAGTCATGAGTGTTGACAATGTTACTTTATACCAACTTTTTTTTTTTGTTGTTTTGTGATTCAATTATACACCTCAAAAGCATTTTTTAATTTTTAAAATTAGGTTCACATAGGCCATCAGTTTGAGGACTTGGTTTCAGGGACTCACTAGACTCAAATTATTGAGAACCCCTAAGAGTTTATCTGTTGTTAAGAAAAACAACCATATTTAACATTGAGAAAATTAAATTTTTCATTAAGAACTCATTACATTAGTATTAATACTATTATTACTGGAAAAGAATTTCAAAAGTTTGAGAATAGTGATACTGTTCGACATTTTAAATATCTGACTTATGGAAGACAGCCAGATTCTTAAATCTATGTCTGCATTCAGTCTGGTTAGTGGGTTATTATGGTTGAAGAATGATGGCAGTCTAGACTAATGTAGTCTAAACATAATGTAGTTGGGAAGGTAATATTTTAATAGCCATTTAGAAAGATAACTGGGTATTCTTTGATACTACAACAAAACTCAACAAATTATAACTTAAAAGTTACCTTGCAACCATATCAAACTTTATACAATGATAACAGTAAAATCATTTTTTTTTAAAGATTTATTTATTTATGCACACAAGAGCTGGGGTACAGGCCAGAGGCGCGGGAGGGTGAGAGAATTCACCAGAGACAGAGCAAAACAGGCAGAAGGACCGATGTACTCTGCTGAGGGGAGCAGTGGGCGAGACAGGAAAGGTCTGCTGCTCCATGTGGGAATCTCCCTGGACAACTGGGAATCGAACCGGTGCTGCAGAGGCTGCGCACAGCTTCACAGTGCTGTGTTCAACCCACTGCTGGAGGCCCAACTCTTCCATTTTCAATGGATCTTGCACTCATGCATAATTTTGTAACATTGTGCAGTGGTCAGTTGGAAGAGGGTGGTGAGTTATAAAAATATTCTATACTAAATTATGTTAACATCACTATTGATCTCATCAGTCTTTAAAAAGTGGGAAGCCGAAAAGATCACAGCTTTCATAAATTTTTTAATTTTTGCTTGAAACCTCAATTTTATCATTGGCACCAATAATTGCTTTCTTTGAAATGTACTTTCCTTCAAATACTCAAGTTTGAATAGTTTGTTTGCCAGTTATCTTTCAGGCAAAAATGGTGGTCCGTGGAAAAAGCTCACCTGGCTGCTCTCCCTCTCCCCAGGTGTAGTCACTGTAGCCCTCCTCAATGGTGTCTTTTCATTTTCATTTCCTTAATACTGTCTTCTGAAATACAATAATTTTGATTCTTTCTTTTTTCTTTAGTGGACTGTGTTATTGGTGTCTTATCTAAGGAGTCTGCCTAACCCAAGGACTTAGATACTCTCCTTTACTTAGTGGTTCTTCCTGTTTTTGCTCTTCTGTTTGAAGTCTAGGATCCATTTTGGGATCCATAGTATATGGTTTGAGAGATGGTGCTTATATCTGGCTGTACTTGACCCCAAAGGATTGCCTTAGCACCTTTGATGAAAATTATGAATCATTAGCAAAAGGATTTATTTGAGGACTCTTTGTCTATCCTTATGCCAGTGTACTGTCTTGAAATTTCAACTTTATATTGAGTATTGAAATTAAGAGATAAAAGTAATCCTGCTTTGGTCTTGTCAAAATTGTCTTGTTTAAGTCTTTTGCATTTCCATATGCATTTTAGGATTTCCTTGTTGGTTTCTGCAAAAATTAAGGTAATTCTTTTTTTTTAAATATTTTTTCAAATATTTATTTTTGTGTACAAGAACTGGTGTGTAGGCCAGATGTGCCAGAGTAGGGGGGGAGGGTTGGGAGAGGGAGGGTGGTGGTGAGAGGATTCACCAGAGACAGAGTGGGGAGCAGAACAGGCAGATCTACTGAAATACACTGCTGAGGGGAGCAGTGGGCTAGACTAGAGAGGTCTGCTGTGCCATGAGGGTTAGTTCCCTGGCCTGGGATTGAACTCATGCTGCAATGGCTGAAAATAACTTGATAGCGTTGAGACTTTAACCCCTGGGAGGCCCTAGGATACATTCTTAAATGTAGAAATTTGTTTCAAAAAGCAAGCATCTCACGTATTTAGTAAGCCTATAATGAATGTAGTGTGGTGTAAAAGCAAAAAAGTTATTGCATATCCTGAATATAAGAAAATTGTTTTCTGAACTTCTACACAATTGTGCTATATTGATAAAAATATTCATAGAATATTCTTGGAAAACTAACTTTACATGTATTGTCGCTGGTTCCTCTACCTAGAATTAAAACAAGATATTGTACTATTCCTTAACATAAATTTATTCCTTAAAAAGAACTACTAACAAATATGCTACTCAGGTAATATCCTCAAGCAACATAGTATGCATTCTTTTTTAAACTTTGTATTTAAAGTAGAGGACTTTTCTCTTGGTTATCCATCTAAGCATCTGATCTCTTCCTTGTGGGAAACAATTTGTGTGTGCTTGCTGGTTGTTTAAAACTTTTTTGATACTATGAGATGCTTTTAGGGATTCTGCAGAAAAACAAGTGTTTTAATTTCTTATACTTATATTCTTACATCATTAATTTTTTTGACAGTATTTGACATCTGTTCTCAGATGTAGTCCCCATAATCCTCCCAACACCATAATCCCTTGTGCTCTTTCCCTTCCTGTTTTGACCTCTCTCCCACCTCCTCCTACGCTATATGCCTCCGCTCTATTATTAGCTTGCAAGTTTTGTCTTTTTTCTGACCCTTTGCTTTCTCTAAATTCTCATATAATTGAAACCATCTATTTATCTTTTTTTCCTTCTGATTTACTTCACTTGGCATAATCACTTCCAGCTTCATCCATGTTAGCACAAATGGCCTGAGTTTCTCTTTTTTGATCGTTGAGTAGTATTCCATTCTGTGTGTATATTTATGTGTGTATACACACACAAATGTATGGTGTATATATATATACACATATATATATACACACACGTATACACATACATATGTGTGTTTAAGTTGTATCCATATCTTGGCCATTGTATATAGTGCTGCAATAAGCATAGGAGTGCAGGATTCCTTTTGGATTAGTGTTATTGTGTCCTTTGGAATTCCTAGTAGTGGTGTTGCTGGGTCATATATAGATCCATTTTTAGTTAAGTAAGAAAACAAGTATATCAAGTTAGGCAGATAAAATTCTTAAGAATTTTTTTTCTGGGGCCACCTTGATGGCACAAGTGTTTGGGTCTCAGCACTATGAAGCAATCTACAGCCA